TATGTGGTTGTCCTCCATTTTGCAGTTGTAATTTTATGTCAAAGAGGATTAGGGTGGGATTGTAACACCCTTACCCAGGTCACATCCTAGATCCAATGTAAAGGGAGTTTCCCTAGGGTGTGGCCTGCACCACGTTTTATCTCTCAAGAGATAAAAAGAAAGGGTAGCAAGCAGAGAGTTGGGGACCTCATATCACCAAGAAAGCAGTGCCGGGAGCAGAGCGCATCCTTTGGACCTGAGGTTCCTGCGCCGAGATGCTCCCAGACCAAGGGAAGGCTGATGCACCACAAGGACCTTCCTCCAGAGCCAACAGAGAGAGAAAGCCTTCCCCTGGAGCTGGTGCCCTGAATTTGGACTTGTAGCCTGCTAGACTGTGAGAAAATAAATTTTTCTTTGTTAAAGCCATCCACTTGTGGCATTTCTGTTATAGCAGCACTTGATGACTAAGACAATGTCTAACTGAATTGAATTGATGAACTGGACTTCCAAGTTCTTCAAACTAACAAGACTATACTTTGAGGTTTGATTCGTTCAATAAATATTTATTAAACACCTACTTTATGCCGGGCACTTTTTAGGTGTTGCGGATACGGCAATGAACAGACTAGGTGCCTACTGTCCTGCCACTTACATTTAATGGGAAAGTTATGTAATAAACAAGACAAAGCAGGTAATGGGATGCACAGTGAGTAGAAGTTTGTGAGAAAGGGATTACTTTAGACAGGGTGCTGAGAGAGACTCTGGGGAGATACATTTCACCTGAGACTGAATGAGAAGTCTCCAGTCATGTGAAGACCACGGAAAGAGCATTCTAGGCAGAAGGAAGAATTAAGAGCAGAGGCCCAAAGGTGGAAACGAAGCAGAATGTTGGGAAAACAAAAAAGAAGGCAAACTGGCCTGAACATGAGAAAGGAGGAAAATGGTACAAGATGAGATGGAAGAGGCGGGTAGGGGCCAGATTACATAAAGGCCAAGTACGCCCTGGTAAGGAGTGTCGATTTTTCTTCTGCAATGAAGAAATATTTTTCTAGAAAATTATCAGTAAAATCGTCTCTGTCATATCATTTCCCATGCTACGGTCTTCACTTACCAACAACTTCCAAGTAACAAGCAAATTAAATGAATAATTTTCCTTATCTGTCTTTTTCGATATTTTAATTCAATCATATATCTACCTAATACATTCGGAAAAGTTCTACTTTTAAATGATATAGTTCTATCTCATTCACAGGGAAAGAAAAAAATATTGATGAAAGAATTAAGGAAATCCAGTAACAGAACTGAATATTTTTTCTCGTTCTTGAGTCAATCCACACAAGATGGACTATGAAGTACGAAGGGTGCTCAGCGTGCCACCGCACTGAACAAGCTAGGACTGGTGTTGCAGGCCTGAAGGGAAATCTCTGTTCAAACTACTTTTTGCTGCTACTGCCATAGTATTTCAAGATTATTTTAAAACTTTCATGTTCTTCCCTTCCACTCTTGTGTACATACCCAGATAGATGCTTCTCCTTATCTTCTGCTCTTTATTAATCTAACCTGTGTTGTTGCTACCTAATCCAGGTAAGCATCATTTATCAGTATAAGCACAGGTGTCTTCTAAAGGCACTTGGTTAGGGTTTGCCAGCCAATTTCAAGCAAACCATTTCCGTTGATTCTAGGGATCACTAAGCTGAAAGGCAGTCAGTCGTGCAGAATTATTTGCTAGTTAGGGCCAGAGTAATGGCCCAATCAAGTCAAGACAATTTCATTCAAAGGCTTTAAGGGACCCATTTTCCAGGATCACTTTTGCTACAATCAGAATTGTCCCAGATAATGCAGAAATCAAAAATTGCCAAAAGGAATGAAGCCAAAACATATTACACCAACCTTACGTAGAATACTCTGTAGTAACATTCATCTGCAATCTGCCCAGCCAAGTTAAATAATGAAATACTCCACTAAAATGTAGTTTTTGAAAAACACTTAACAAGATGGCTTAATTTCTTCTATTAATAAAGCTATTTAGGTCAATAAAATGGGATATCCTGGAAATGGTGATTTTTTTTTCTGTATTTAAAATATCAAAATGTTGGAGGAAATAGAATGTATGGCTAATTGCCTCTATGAACAACTGCCTCCTTTGCCATGAGACCAGAAGAACTAGATGGTGCATGGCTACCATTACTGAACATTTTGATCAAAGATTCTGTAGAACCCTGATCAAAAGGGGGAAAATGGAGAACAGAATTTCAATTCTCATGGAGTCCAGACTTTCTGAAGCCATGGAGGCTGGATGAACCCCTGAAACTATTGCCCTGAGATAATCTTTAAATATTAAACCAAAAATATCTCCTGAAAGGAACATCTAGCTCAGTTGGCATAACACAATTTATAAAGACAGTGTTCTATGTTCTACCCTGGTGAGTAGCGTCTGGGGTCTTAAAAGCCTGTGAGCAGCCATCTGAGATACTCCACTTGTCTCACCCCATCTGGAGCAAGGGAGAAAGAAGAAAACCAAAGACACAAGGGAAAGATTAGTCCAAAGGACTAATGGACCACAGCTACCAAGGCCTCCACCAGACTGAGTCCAGTACAGCTAGATGGTGCCCAGCTACCACCACTGACTGCTCTCACCAGGATCACAACAGAGGGTTCTGGACAGAGCTGGAGAAAAATGTAGAACAAAATTATACCACACACAAAAAAAGACCAGATTTACTACCCTGAAAGAGACTGAAGAAACCTCGAGAGTATGGCCCCCAGACACCCTTTTAACTCAAGTGGTGAAGTCACTCTCAAGGTTCACCGTTCACCTGGGGATTGGACAGCCCGATAAAACAAAACGGGACTAATGAGGCACAGCAGTCCAGGGACAAGGACTAGAAGGCAGAAGGAGACAGGAAAGCTGGTGATAGGGAACCCAAGGTTGAGTAAGGGCAGTTCTGACATGTAGTGGGGTTGTTAACCACTGTCATAGGGCAACATGTGAACTGTTTAATGAGAAACTATTTTTTTCTGTAATCCTTCATCTAAAGTGAGAATAGCAGCACAACTGGAAGAATGTAATCAATGTCACTGAATTGTGCATGTAGAAATTTTTGAAATGGTGTATCTTTGGCTATGTATATTTTCACCAAAAAAAAGAACTCAAGGTCAAGAAGGGAGAGGGTTGACATGTCGTGGGGTTGTTAACCAATGTCATAAAACAATATGTGTGCTGACTGTTTAATGAGAAACTATTTGTTCTGTAAACCTTCACCTAAAGTACAATAAAAAAAGGAAAAGAAAAAAAAACAGAGTACAAAGACAACCTACAGACTGGGAAAAAAATTTTGGCTACGACAAATCTGATCAGCATCTAAACTCTAAAATCTACAATATACTACAAAACTTCAACAGAAAAAAAAACATATATCCCCTGAAGTCCTAAAACCAAACAATAGTTTAGCTAACTAGTAAAAAAAAGTCTGCCTTGAGCATTACACTCTTTCAAGAACTATTTATATGGGATCAAACTGAAAAGAGCAACTTGAAAGATTAGATACGAACCTTAGGGGGCAGTGACTGTATATTAATGGGGGAGGAACAACTCAGAAAAGCAGGGTGAGAATGGTTGCACAACTTGAACAATGTAATCATTGTCACTGAATTGTACACGTAGAAGCTGCTGAACTGGTGTATGTTTTGCTGTGCACGTTCTCAACAACAATAACAACAAAATAAATAAAATTTTTAAAAAAGATTTGTAAAAAATAAAATACCAAAATGCTATATTGAGTCAAAAGAGTCGCTGGTCCTGTGAACAATTATATAACAGATGTGGTTGTTGTGTGAAGTCAGCATGTTATATACAAAATTGCATGCTAAAATCTTATCTTAACCTCACCACCTGTCAATTTGTCACAGTGTGGTGACTTGCATGTTGCTATGATGCTGGATGCTATGCCACCAATATTTCAAATACCAACAGGGTCTCCCATAGTGGACAGGTTTCAGCAGAGCTTCTAGACTAGTAAGAAAGCCCTGGTGATCTACTTTCAAAATTAGCCAATGAAAACCCTGTGAGAGTCACAACAGAGTACTGTCCAATATAGTGCTAGAAGATGAGCCCCCTAGGTTGGAAGGCACTCAAAATACACAGCAGCCACAACAATGGACACAAGCATACTAATAATCATGAAGATAGGGCAGGAATGGGCAATGTTTCGTTCTATTGTACATGGGGTCACCATGAGTCAGAGCCAACTCAATGGCAACTAACAATAACCATCTCACAATTGCTCTCTCATGCCCACATTGCATCAGCCAACAATCCTTGTTAGTCCTGCTCCCAAATCTCTAATCAAATCCATGTCCTCCTTTTCCATCCACAGTACTTTGATACAGGCTCTTATCTCCCACACAAACTATTCTAGCAGCCTCCAAACATGTCATCTTGATTTAGTCTCACCTCCATTCCTATTAATCTCTGCACTCTCACTGGAGTTATTTTTCTGAAATATATTTCTGATCTTATTTCTCTGCTTAAAAACCTTAAATAGCTCCCCATCAACTGGAGAATGGAATCTATAGCATGTAAGGCCTTCAGAATCTAGCGCCAACCTACAATTCCAATTTCTTCTCCTGCAGCTACCCTAACCTGTATACTAACTTCAAACAACCCATAATTTATCACATATCTTTGTGCCTTTCTCCATGCTATTCCCTCCAACTGGATTGTCCCTCCCCTTCTCTGCCTTAAAAACTCCTACTGATTCTTCATGACCCAGCTCAAATGTTCCCTCCTCTGCGAAGACCTTACAGCTCTCCAAAGCATAATTCAGTAACTTCCACCCTCAACGAGATGGATTGACACAGTGGCTGCAACAATGGGCACAACCATAACAATGATCATGAGGATGATGCAGGACCAGACAGTGTTTCATTCTGTTGTACACAGAGTCGCTATGAGTCATAATCAACTCAACATCACCTAACAACTTGTGTTGCCCCAGAAGCCTTGGTATGCACCTCTCTTACAACATGGATTACCCTCTACTGCTATGCTATCACTTAAAAATATGCGAACCACATGTGTAATTTTAAATTTTCTAGTAGCCTCACTAAAAAGGTAAAATTAATGAACTTTAACATTCTACTTAACATGGTATATCCAAAACATCATCATTTCAATCTGTAATCAACATAAAAAATAACAAACAAAAAAAAAAACAACAAACCCATTGCCATCAAGTTGATTCTGACTCATAGTGACACTATACAAGATACTTTAATTTTTTTTAATTCTTTGAAATCCAATGTGCAGTTTACATTTACAGCACAGTTTAATTTAGACACTAAGTTCTCATCAAAAATAAGTGATCTGTACTTAGAATAGATTTCATAAAATTTACAGTTGAGATTCACATACCCAAGTTGTTCCAAATGTTCTTAGTTTCACAGTAACTGAATCAAAATTTTTTTATTTTAAACTAAAATGAAATAATATTTAAACATCAGCTCCTGAGTCACATTAGCCACATTTCAAGTGCTGAACAGCTACATGCAGCTAGTAGGTATTATACTGGATTATCTGTCCTGTCCAATAAATTAGCCCATGTCTAATTTACTTGTATCCTCCCCCATTGCCTAGCACAAGGCTTGGCACATAAATGGTATTTTATGAAAGTCTGTTGGATGAATAAAGAAAAATAGGTGTGGAAATCACTTGACTCTACCCCAATACAAAATCAAGAGCATTCCTTTGTAGATAATATAAATGGCAATTTTTATGCATACATACACACAAGTACACACACATACAAGCACAGGTCTGTATGAAAATCAATTAAGAGTACGTATATCTGATTTGTTACTGATCCCTTCAGTAATAAAAACTACTTCATCCGTACTACTCCCCTTTTTTCTGCACCTATACCCCTCTTTTCCCCTTCCCTTAATGCAATTATGGGTATTCTGCACAATTAGCACTTCATAATATGCTTTACATTCTCTAGTTGTTTTCTGTCTTGTCTTCTCAAATTATATTTGAAGCTTCTGGGGATAGATCATTCCTTGTGCTTTGAACTATCATCACATCTGGCTTAATAGTAATAATAAAGGGTTAAGAATTTAATAAATGACATATAATCAATTCTTAGATGGCTTTTCAGTGAAGCCTTGCCCAATCAATCCCAGAAACCCAATCTCTCTCAGCACTTATGTATGTACCACTGTCTCTGCACAGGTGCAACCAGTGTCTTCCCCATGTAATCACTTCCTCTCTACATGCTACAATGTGACTTATATGTGCAATTGTTCTTCCCCCTCCAGAAGGTGGGATCGTGTCTTTACTCTTTGTTACAATCCTCAGAGCACCTAAAGCAGTACTCTCATCAAAATAGACCCTTCAGTAGGTATTGCTTCCTGTCCCACTTCCCACCTCCATCAACACCTACCATGGAATGCAGCAATATATGGCACAAGAGATCTCAGTGAGAGTAGAGACCTCGTCAGTCCTATTGGTCACTGTATCTCCTTATTGACAAATGATTCTCATACATGAATGCACACATATAAAATTACACAAAAGGGATTACAGGTTTATTTTTTATTCTAATTCTGTTTGAACAAGAGCAAAATAAAAACAAATACAAAGTTGCCTTAGTGAATCAGTCATGGGGTTCCTCTAAGTCTCCATTGGGGTTCTCTTTCTTTTGTTTGGATAGCTGTTTGATGGTGTCCATTTCTGCAGAAGTAAACTTGGGGGTTAGCATCACCTTGTCATAATCAAATTCTTCATCAAGTGAGAAGGGATGAACTTCATCTCCGAGTAGCTATAAGAGGTAAGAAAGGAGAAAAAACACAATCACTTCAGTGAAGATAAAGTTGAAAACATAAACTCCCTATTAATAATTAAGCTTTTTTAGACTCCAGGACTCTCTGCTGATTAAGCAGTTTTTAAGTAAAAGAATAAATTCAATTATTCAATTTGACCTAATTTAAGCCTCTCAATATGCCCCATTTGTATCATGCTGCATCTGAATGAATATCATTAACTAATTTTGCCCAAGGCAAGAATCAGAAGTCTCCCTTACACACATTCATTACATTTTTACCACTTGTAGTGTCAAGGCTGGAGGCATGTGGAAATCTAAGAGTTATATTAAAACATAAGAAAATATACCTTGAGATTTTCATCAACTTTAAATACATTTTGACCACCTACTTGTATCAATGAAAAGTAATTTTCAAAAATAAAAATACTCTACACTTAAAACACTTCTTCAGATAATACCTATAACTCCTAGGCCATAAAAGTAGGAATTAAAACACACAGCATCATGTCAAATTAAAAAGCCCAGGATCTTTTTATTCCTACCAAGACTTTTTTAAATATTATAGAGTTTATCTACAAGTTACAGCAGCTGCAAAAGATGCAATAATGTTCTATTTATTTATTCATAAATCATGATTTTTAAAGACTTCATAAAAGAAGAAAGGTAAAAAGTACATTTTCTAACAAACAAAAAGTGAAAGCCTTAAATCTTATCATATCAACCTCTAAACAGACTCTCCAAAAGCAAATGGTGTGTGATAGAATGAAATCGTCCAGCACCTCTGTGTAGGTCTGTAATATGTAAGGTGATGCTGAAATAATTGAAAACTATGGTTTAGGCAAGAATGAAAAAAAATGCCCTGAAGCTATAATAAGATTTAAATATTCTTGCATGGAAGATGAACTCATTGAGTAGCTTCTTAACATTCATGAATATGAAGCCTACAGCTCCAAAATGATATGCTGGTACTAAAAGTGAAAAACAAATCACTGAAAGTAGATATTACCTATCAGTGAGGGCTTATGTTATGTGTCAGCTTGGCTAGGCTACAAGTCTCTGTGGTTGGGTGGACATGGATCGATTGCTTTTTCATGATGTAATATAACATAAACACATTTTATGATGTGATCTGATGTGATCAGCCCATCAGTTGAAAATGGAGTTTCCTTGGGGGTGTGGCCAGCCTCCAGAATATAAATGGATGTTCTGGAGAAGTTTAATCTTTCGACCCCACACCACTCTTCTTGACCTCTAACCTCTGGTTCATGGGATGCCAGCCTGTAAATTCTCCAAAGTGTCACATAACCTGCAGAGTTTAGATTAGCCAGTTCATAGAATTCTGATAGTTGTTGGTAAATAGAGATAAACAGATCGTTGGTAAATATATAGAGATAAACAGATGATTGGTAGGTACACAGACATCAACAGATAGTTGGTAGGTATATACGGATCAACAGATGGTTCGTAGGTATACAGAGATCAACAGATGCTTGGCAGGTATATAGAGACCAACAGATGGCTGGTAGGTATACAGGGATAAACAGATGGTTGGTAGATATATAGACATAAACAGATGGTTGGTAGGTATATACAGATAAATAGATGGTTGGTAGGTATATAAACAGACAGTTGGTAGGTATACAGAGATAAACAGATGGTTGGTAGGTATATAGAGATAACAGATGGTAGGTAGGTATATAGAGATAAACAGAGTTCGTAGGTATATAAATAGATGTTGGTAGGTATACAGACATAAACAGATAGTAGGTATACAGAAATAAACACATGGTTCATAGGTATGTAGAGATCAACAGATGGTTGGTAGCTATGTAGAGATAGAGAGTTGGAAGGTATATAGAGATAAACAGATGGTTAGTAGGTATATTGACATGAAGAGATGGTTGGTAGATATATAGAGATGAAGAGATGGTTGGTCGGTATACAGAGCTGAACAGATGGTTGGTATGTATACACAGGTGAAGATATAGTTGATACGTATACAGAGATGAAAAGACGGTTGTTACGTATACAGAGATGAACAAATGGTTAGTAGGTAAACAGACATGAACAGATGCTTGGTAGGTATACAGAGATGAAGAAATGGGTGGTAGGTGTATAGAGATAAACACATGGTTGGTAGGTATATACAGATAAACAGATGGTTGGTAGGTACATAGACACAAATGGATGTTGGTATGTATATAGAGATAAACAGATGGTTCGTAGGTATATAGAGATAAACAGATGGTTGGTAGGTATATAGAGCTGAACAGATGGTTGGTAGGTATATAGAGATGAAGAGATGCTTGGTAGGTATACAGAGACAAACGGATGTTAGGTAGGTATATAAACAGATAGTTGGTAGAAATAGAGAGAGAAACAGATGGTGGTAGGTGTAAACATATAAACAGATGTTTGACAGCTATATAAACAGATGGTAGGTATATGGGATATACAGATGGTTGGTAGGTATATAAACAGATGGTTCCTAGGAATATAGAGATAAACAGATGCTTGGTAGGTATCTAGACAGAAACAGATGGTAGGTATACAAAGATGAAGATAGCTATACAGAGATAAACAAGTGGCTGGTAAGTATATAGAGATAAACAGATGGTAGGTAGGTATATGGAGATAAACAGTTGGTAGGTATATAGACAGAAACAGATGGTTGGTAGCTGTATACATATAAACAGATGGTTGGTACACATATAGCAATAAACAGAGGGTTGGTAGGTATATAGAGATAAACAGATGGTTCTTAGGTATATATCAATAAACATATGGTAGGTATACAGAGATAAAAAGACACTGGTAGGTACATAGAAATAAATAGATGGTTGGTAGGTATACAGAGATGAACAGATATTTGGTAGCTATATGGAGATACACAGATGGTTTGTAGGTATAGAGAGATAAACAGATGCTAGGTAGGTATATAGAGATAAACAGATGGTAAGTATAGAGAGAGAGATACACAGATGGTAGGTATGTATACAGAGAGAAACAAATGGTCAGTATGTGTATGGATATAAACAGATGGTTGGTAGGTATATAGAGATAAACACATGGTTGGTAGGTATATAAACAGATGGTTGGTAGGTATACAGAGATAGACACATGGTCGGTAGGTATAAAGAGATAAACAGATGGTTGGTAGGTACATAGAGATGAACAGATGGTAGTTATATAGAGATGAAGAGATGGTTGGTAGGCATACAGAGACAAACGGATGGTAGGCAGGTATATAAACAGACAGTTTGCAGGTATACAGAGATGAACAGATGGTTGGTAGCTATATAGAGATGAATGGATGGTAGGTGTGTCTACAGAGAGAAGCAGATGGTAGTATGTATATAGAGATAAGCAGATGGTCTGTCAGTCGGTCAGTCCATCGGTTGATCAATTGATAGCTAGATCTACTATCTATCTATGTGACTGGTTTTGCTCCTCTGGATATCCCAGACTAAGACCTTATCTGTTTAGAAATTCGTGTCTTGTAGTTAAGTGTACAGCGCTGTAACATCTAACATCGCCTCTTAGTAAAACCAAAAATAAGACAAATTTCAAAGATTTGTTCCTTTCCTCTCTATTAGAAAGTTCTGGAGTACTTTCCTGACAAAGAAAATGAGGGAAGATGCCATTGAGTCTCCACCATGTGTCAGACAGAGGGCTAAGAGACACGAGGGCTTTAGCACTAGTCTTCAAACAACCTGGCATGTGGGTAGTAGGTAACAACCTCCATTTTACCAACCTCTGAAAGGGTAAGTAACTTGCCCAAGCCTACAAAAATAGAGAGAGAAGCAACATTGAATCCAGGGCAATCTGTTTCAGGTAAAGTTTCATCTTCTCAACAAAAACACCAGCAAAAATCAACTTTGGAATCTTCACTAAGCCAAGTCAAAGCTCTTTGGGAGAAAAGACCTTTTTCTGTATAAGCTGAACAAGTCTCCCAGACTACCATAAAACAGATACTCAAGGCTACATGTAATACCATGCACTTAGGCTGAAGGGACTTTTGCTGCCCTTTTATTCCAGGGTCATCAAAAAGGTTAGACATTCAAGTCCACTTAGGGGTACCTTGTAGGTCTGTCAATCTACTTCTAAAAAATCATCCATTGAAAAGTCTATGGAAGACACATCCAAACTCCCTGAGGGACTGAATTGCTGGGTGGAGGGCTGTGGGGACCATGGTCTCGGGAAACATCTAGCTCAATTGGCATAACACAGTTTATAAAGACAATGTTCTACATTCTACCTTGGTGAGTAGTGTCTGGGGTCTTAAAAGCCTGTGAGCAGCCATCTAAGATACTCCACTGGTCTCATCCCTTCGGGAGCAAGGGAGAATGAAGAGAACAGGATACAAGGAAAAGATCAGTCCAAAGGACTAATGGACCACAGCTACCAAGGCCTCCACCGGACTGAGTCCAGTACAGCTGGATGGTGTCCGGCTACCACCACTGACTGCTCTGACCAGGATCACAAAAGAGGGTTCTGGACAGAGCTGGAGAAGGATGTAGAACAAAATTCTAACTCACAAAAAAAAAGACCAGATTTACTGGCCTAAAGGAGACTGTAGAAACCCCGAGAGTATGACCCCAGACACCCTTTCAGCTCAGTGGTGAAGTCATCTCCGAGGTTCACCGTTCAGTCTGGGAGTGGAGAGCCCCATAAAACCAAATAGGACTAATGAGGCACAGCAGTCCAGGGACAAGGCCAGAAGGAAGAAGGGGACAAGGAAGCTGGTGATAGGGAACCCAAGGTTTAGTAAGGATAGTGTTGATGTGTTGTGAGGTTGTTAACCATTGTCATAGGGCAACATATGTACTAACTGTTAAATGAGAAACTATTTTGTTCTGTAAGCCTTCATCTAAAGTGAGAATAGCAGCACAATTGGAAGAGCATAGTCGATGTCACTGAACTGTGCATGTAGAAATTTTTGAAATGGCATATCTTTGGCTATGTGTATTTTCACCAAAAAAAAAAAGGTCGAGAAG